ACAGAGCAAGAGGTAGGCAATGATACAAGTGGAAAGACAACCAAGACAATAGACACAGTGTGTTAGTTATTCATTGCAGCCAACCTTCATTGTGGAGACGGCACCTGATTGAGAAAAACTAATAAATGTTGGGCTTAAATAACTTAGGAAGCAGTGACAGCATAGTAGATGCTTGTCTACCAATCTGAAGGTCTAGAGTTCAAGTCTATTTGCATCAAGGTGGATTTTTTTTCCCTTAGAAATAAGCTTGGCTCCCAGGTTGAATCAGACTTAAATAGGTACCAGGTAGTGTCCTGGGAAGTAAAGGTGGCTGGTGCAATTGATGTTGACCACATTACCCACCAAGTGTCAACTGTTCTATACCAGTGATTCTCAACTTTTTGTGTGTTTTTTTTTTGTCAAACGAGCCTCTCACATGGGTCGCCTAAAACCATCAGAAAACACATATTTATTGAAGTTATGAAGGAAAATAATTGTCTAGGGGTAGCCACAACATGAGAGAAATGTATTATTGAACGTGGCATTAGGAAGGTTGAGAGCCATTGATTTATACAAATATGGCTCTAGAACTATATACCCGTCATGTTAAAGGCAAGAAAATGTCCTTTTATTTTTATTTGTACCCAAAAAACTCACAGTAATAAACATAATGTTATAGTAAGTGGTAAGTATTCAAAGTAGTGGATAGATAAGAGTAGGTTAATGTAAGAACAAGAAAAGACATACAGATAATCTGCACATAATGCACATACTACTACCAATAAACACATGGTGATATCTCAGTGTTGAATGAGTTAATATTCCTGCAAACATTATTGTATAATCAAAAGTACCAATGGTACTTATTTTAGACTGGATCGACCTGACAGCCAATGTCAATTTTGATCAATAATCGGCCAAAATGCAGATCAGAACCTAAGATCTTCGAGCCGGCAAGCGATGACTAATTTAAGTAATTAAGGATTTGCTACAAAAAAATCAGATTGATTGCGTTACTTTACGGAATTGCGTAGATCGCATCCTAGCTGTAAACGACAATACAGTGTACAAACAGCACCTCTATTAACGAAAGAAGAAGAGGAAGAAGAAGAAAAAGAAGCAATGTTAAAATAAAAACATTGTAATAAAGTTTTATTTTCAGTAACTGTCTTCTTGGCGGCTTCTTATATAATTAATTAATTTTTTCCCCCGTGTTCATACTGGTCAACAAACGATACAAATATTAATGTCACAGCTTAGCTAAGACAAATAATTTTGTACATACGTGTTCAGATAGATATCAGTAATTTTACTGCTAGTACTACGAATCAAATCAGTGTACATACGCTGCGGCCAATAGACCAAAACTGCATACGAAACTTTTAATCTACGAAGCGTTTAATCCCAATGACGCCGTTGTTATGGATACAGTCAACACCCATGCCTACTAAAATTAAAAAGTCTATGTTTATCTCCATATTGGAGGTGGTTTCTCGCCCGAAATATGTATTATACATTTTTTTTAGAGAACTAGTTGTTGAACGACTTCTGCTGTCTTTTTAATCTTTAAAACTCTCCTTATAATTTCCTACACATTACAATCACTGTAATAGTAATACAGAGCCGAAAACTTCAGTTAGCCTATCCTATCCATTGATAAGTTATCAATCATACATCAGGTGCTGTACCACAGTGAAGATCGCTCGCCATTTATGTACACTCTGAGACTGTTGTTTCCCTTTCTGTTAATATTACGTTCCCTCTTGTATTGATATCTATTCTTTGCTCACCTATCTTTAGCGCGTTCCTCCATAATTGTTTCATAGATTCTCCCAAAATTATAATTCGCTGTTTTTTACAATCAGGCAACTTTTCAAAATAGAAACCACTTTCAGTTATGCTTTCACACAAATAGTCATTCATAATACTATACGATTCACCGGCATACGATTTCAGCTCTACTGTTTTGATGGTTTAATCGGTGTGAATATTTTACTTGACGTCACGTAGGATCATGTAGATAACCTGCTGCTGCCATAGCGCCAGAATGGACAGCAGACCAAGCAGCCACATATGCAGTAGTCGTTTCAGAATCCGTAAACATGCTTCGCAACAGCAGCCACGCTCTGAACTGGATATACACACCAGGGGTTAGCAGGAGTGAAAGGGAATGAAAGAGCCGACCAGCTTGCAAGCAATGCCCCAATGCATGCTAGAAGAATCAGGGATAGAGCTGATGTCATCAATGCTGTAGGACAAGGTCGGTTAATGACGAATCTCTGACGCTAACACATTTGCGTGATCTGGTAGTAACTCTAGGTAAAGCAAGTCTATGTCATCTTCAAGGTCAAGACAGGAGACATTATAATCATTTCCTCACGGGAACAATCAGTAGAGGCGGTGACATAGCGCGGTCAGGTGGTATTACCAAAGATTCGAAGCCGGGGCTCCCGCTTAAGAGCCCAGCGTTCTAACTGTTCGGCCAGCCGCTCCACAGCACATGCGTTCCTCCATATAAATACATTTTTTAAACATTTGTATGACAATGTAGTTTTTTGTTTTCTTTGTTTAAATTTATTTATTTATGTAACTTGTTTGCGTTGATAAAGGCTTTGGTCGAAACGTTCGGTTGTATTTGTGCGCGTATTTTCCATTCACTCCGCTAGGGTTTTTTATTCGCGTTTTATGTTGTATTTAGCACTTCTTGTCATCGATCTGACTCTAGTCAACCCATTTAGTTAATTAAAATATAACCACGACCACTATGTAAATAAAGAAAAGTAGGCAAGTGATCGATTTTGATAAAAATGGTTCGCCCACTTAGAAAGAATAGCTCGCGACACAATAACATGTACAGTGCATTCATAAAAAGAGGAGATGTGCGTAAAGCACAACGTGGACCAAGAACAGGATAGAAAGATAACATCGTAGAAACTCTATGCAACAGTAAACTGTGTTCTTAATAAAGGCAACAAGAAGAGCAAGAAGCAGAATGTTATATCTCCCTGGACCCCGGCTCTCTAGCGTAGTTGGTTAAACCTGACTTTCGCGGCGGCCAGGTGACGAACTCCTTGTGGTACGGGTTCAATCCCGGGGGTAGGCAGAAAAGCCACATTTCTCCCAGATTAATGGTACCTATAATGGAATAAAGGCCGAAGGGTTGCGATATCCATAGTACCGAGCCAAAGGGTTTACAACTCATGGTTTCTGGATACTTAAAAAAAAAAATCTCCCTGGATACCCGAAGCCGTAACAGAGAAAGCAAAGAAATTGAAATTACAGGCCTGGCCAACGCCTTCTCTAAGCAGAGAAGGCCGGGGTCTGGCCTACTTGGGAGCGCGAGTCAATGAAAACAAAAACCCGCATAGAAAACCATTCGTAAACATGATGACGAGACCGTCAGACAAGCGACCTCGACACCCCAATATTTTTATTTCCTTAGCTTTGTTTACACTTGCTTATACTGGATACTGAGGGAAATTAAAGAAAATGCAGGAGTAAGAGTTAGAGGATACAATATAAACAATTTGCCTTATGCAGACGGTACAGTTTTGATAGCTGAAAATGCAACTGATTTACAACAACTGATGGATATTGTAACAGCAACGGAGAACATCTACTTAACGTGTGTTCACAACAAGGTCTTATAATAATAAACAGGTTTTTTTCAACATAGACGCAGTCATACTAAAACCTGGTATAAATAGGACGATTTAGAGCAGGCTTCCCAAATTGACTTCATTCTATTCAAGAAGACAAAACGAAGACAATTAATTGACTCAAGAGTCCCACCAAACACAAACATTGACACGGATCATAGTCCAGTTATCATAGAGAAAAACACCGAATACTGAAAACCAAGACATAAAATAGTAACCACAGATGTTATCAGAGCCGGACTTTTTTTCAGAAATGGCCTTGGCTCCCAGGTCGACCCAGCCTTGAAGTGGGTACCGGGTGCAGTCCCGGGAAAGTGAAGGCGGCCGGCGTGATACTGACCACATCACCCATCTTGTGCCGATTGGTCTATAAAAATATAGGTCTAGCCCTATATACCCTATTCGCCT